CTCTCTCACTCACTATTGCTGTGTTGCTGTCTTGCTTGATCCTTCTTTGTGATTCGTTTGTGTTTTAGCTTTTATTTTCGGAACTTTAAAACATACTCTCTAATCTGTGCTTTAAAACTTGGCTATTCAAACGGACTCTGATTGATTGCAATAACGACATACACAGCCTAGGATTTACTGTTTTTGTCATGGTTTTTGTGTGGCTCGGCCAAGGCTCGGCTGGTGGTTCTATGGTGTTAGAAAATGAGCAACCTAATTATACACAACAATGGGCAGCACCTCGATCGGTAAGTACCTACATTTTGCTCAGCAATCTTATGAATAAGTACTAGCCTTGCCAAACTTCTGAATTGCCGTTCTCATGGCGGGTTGTCTTGAAATGAATGTTCCGCTATTATCTGTGGTTCAACCCTGGACAGTGTGGACAGCCAGGCCCGATTCGATTGTAAGAAACTAGTCGATGGTACAGCGCAATGGAGGCATGAGCGAAACAACAATTATGTTGACAATCCAGCTGGTTTTGGTGTAAATCTAAGGAATTATTTACTTTGACACTATCTCCCTGCTCTCAATGAAAGCTTGTTTCTGTAAATTAATACTAAAATAAAATAATTTAAGTGCGGGACTTTAAAAACCTGATAATTTTTTTAAACTTATTTCTAATTATTATTATTTTTAAACAGGTTACTGCAAATGACTACATCTGTGGGGCTTGTCACTCATTATTGCAAAGAGATACCACACCTACTTCACAAGACTCTCCAGATATGCCAACCGGTGCCCCGGTAGGTCACCAACAAGTTTGTGTTGGATGTGGTTGTTCATTATTGCGAACTTGAAGTCATTGTTTGGATACAGAGAATAATCAAGATATATTAAACATTGTTCGAAATTGGATTCAACCCAGAGAGGTAAGAGCCCTGCCAGTTTTATAATACATAAAAATAATTATGCCGGTTTATTATAATAATAAAAAAGGTTTTTTCCGAATCAGCCTTCCCATCCTTCAACTCCTTCCATTGCTTTCAATCTGCCACTACTCTCATCCATACAGGTTATACAGGGTGGAAACGATAAGTAATCTCACTCGATTATTTCTAAACTACACAAGATATCGAAAAACTGGTTACTCATCCTGAAAGTGCTTCACGAGCTCTTTCTAACGGTATCAGTAAATAGTTACAGAATTAACTGGATCTATCCGAAAATTCAATGTTTTCAGCCTCCATACTAAATGTATGCCAGCTTGGGGCGAACGATGTATGGACGCAGAACAATATCCTTTATTTTCAAATTTAAGCAAAAAGCATTCTGTGGATAAAAAATACCTATGCTTATTTGCACCTAGTTTATCAATCACCATGTTAATTCCATGCTTTCTATCCAGTCGACTGCTCTAACGACAAGGGTGGGCTGTCGTTGAGATGACAGCGCGAAAATCGTCGGCATCCACTAATTATGACCCTTATGTACCACTATATTGACAAAGTTCTCCGTCTTCGTACGCGATATTGGAAATTTGGCATCTACCATCGGCTGATCTGACATTAGGCGTAGTCTGGCTTTGTTATTCAATTTTCAACTGTATTACCTTGACAATCAGTTCAAAATTGATTACTAGAAAATTATTTGACAGACGATTTCTACTCTCGACAAATGCATTTGAATTAGCCCAATTTTAATTCCATTTCTCTACTGTAGAGTACGATTCTCTCTAATTTACTAGAGGCAAATGATTTGGCCTACAGTCTCTATCACTGGCCAGATAGGTTGGGGAGGCTTGATTCTCGCATATTTTGTCCCTTGTCGCCTTTTAGAAAGAAAGAAAATCAAAGTCGGCCGTTTGGTGTAGTGGTTCGAAACGGACTACTATTCCGGAGGTAGCGGGTTCGATTCCCGCACAGTACAAACATTTGTGTGCATGAACATAATATTTGTTTGTATTGGACTGGGTGTTTTCTATGTATAATAAGTATGTATTTACAAAAAAAAAAGTATTTAAGTATGTTTATATCCGTTGTCTAGTACCCATAGTACAAGCTTTGCTTAGTTTGGGTCTAGAAGCGCAGTGTAAATGTCTAAGGATATTTATTTATTATTTATTTATTTGGCACATAGAAAAAAGAGAAACAATAAATTAACACAATAAAAAATAACAATAATAATACATAATAATTATGTCTATGATATAAGGCGCTGTGCCAAAAAGGACGCCCGCTCAGTATATCCAGCCAGCTACATGCATGGCTGGATAGGTACTGATTTTTAGTGGACGCCTTGGGCTTATATTTTACGACTTCCATATGGTTATGATTTCTTATACTTATTTATTTGCCACACTACCAGCTCTGCTAACTTTAAAGATTGTTTATTAAACTAATCAATATTATCCATAAACAGCAATATTTCTTAAGTAACGCCTAAGTTGACGAATCATGATGAATGTAAATAATTTGCGAACATGGCATTCGTCAATTCAATTTGTAATACTTGTAAGAAATTGTTATTGAATTACGTTGAAATACATTGGTGACAAATTACTAATTATTATTCAACACTGTCTTTGTTTTTAATTTTGTTTATGTATAATTTAAGATTTGCACACACTTATTTTAATCGGGATTTTACACTTTTATTGTACGCTTGTGTCTTTGTATTTCTTATTTTGTGGTGTACATGTACAAGTGTATTTAATATTGTTATTACAAATGTTGCTTGTTGAGTTATTTACAAAGAGATAAATATAGGTACGCCTACGTTCTCGAAAAGCTTAAATTAATACGTAATCCTTAAAAACCTGAAATAGAACAGTTAAAAACAAAAAGGACATCATTCTTTTTGGGCCTTTTCTAAAAGTGCCGGCCAACAAAAAATTATGGTACGTATTGTTAGAACTAGCTATTTGGAGCAATAGTTAATATGGCACAAAAGTTGTAGGACCACTCAGAACAAAGTCATACAAGTTCGATGATTCATCATTTTCATACATTTATTGACTTTTAAAGTGTTGGCAAACTTGAAAATAATTACATATATGTTTTGTTAGAAACTCATGATCCAAAACAATTATCAACCGACCGCTCTAAGTTAGCGATCAAATGACGCGATGACGAAACGAAAAAGATACATCCGTGGCCCGCGCTAGCAGTGTCGCTGTGGCCGGGAAGAAACGAGCAAACATGCCAGCCAATAGGATGGCTCGGAGCATACCCGTCAGTGAATGAGACGGGGACATTGAAAACTGAAGTGAAGGTCATCCAGTTATCCATGCGACTCGCGTTACATCAAACGGCTACCTGCTTGCGTTATCGTTAAACATCATTGTTAAAGCCCGGTCGCCGAGTACGTAGAATTTCGTCCAATGACCCCAAGCTATCCATCTTTTTCGCTCGCACGAATCTATGTTGCTGTCGCGCTCGCACACTCACTGCGGCCGCCCGTCGCACAATCGCGACAGCAATAGGTATAATTACGTGCGAGCGATAAGGATGGGTAGCTTGGGGTCATTGGCCAAACTTCTACGTGCTCGGCGACCGGACTATATGTGAATATTCGACTCAGATTCCGTTTGTTGTGTGAAGTGGCTAATCATTTGTGTATAAGCTGTCGTGGAGATATTGGTACACGGCGTAGATACACCTGGGCTTCGTGAGAGGAAGGTTTTATAAATATTGCTCAGATTATAATGGATGAACTGGTGGAAAATGAAGTAACATGAAAACTACTTTTTTGTCACTTAAATAACTGAACAGACAATGAACCCACACTTTCGCACTATAATGACAGATGCTTGAAATAACTAGTTCTATCAATATCAATAATCATTATATGATTCTCTGCACTTTCAAAAATCAATAAATGCATGAAAATGATGAATCATCGAACTTGTATAACTTGGTTCAGAGCGGTCCTACAACTTTTATGCCATATTAACTATTGCTCCAAATAGCTAGTTCTAATAATACGCACCATTTTTTTTTGTTGGCCGGCACTTTCAAAAAAGGCCCAAAAATGTATGAAGCCTGAATGATCTCCTTTGCATATTTTAGGTTGATAACATTTACACCAGTATTAACATAAAACCTTCGAGGAATTTCAACCTTTCCAACAAGCAATAGGTATGGTATCTTATGTTCTATTGACTCCATTAGAGCCGTTTACGACTCGATGGCAAATTGCTAATTTGAATTCTAATTTAAATTCATAGTATCGCTATCCGATTCGTTCCCAATTAAAATTACTCTCAAATGGTGTCCTGTTCCAAGAATTATGTTGGGTTTTTAAGTAATAGTAAGGTCTGGTTTTTACTAAAGCGGAGAGGAGAGGTGATTGGAAAATCAATCAGCTTAGCGGAGAGATGGTGTGGAAATTACGAATTCTGATTGGTTATTCTAACACCTCTTCTTCTCTCCGCTTTAGTGGAAACCTTTACTAAATAAAGAATGGTTTTCCTTTTAAGCATTATTAGAAGTGACTATTAACTCTACCCAAAAATACCCTGCAGTTTTGTCCACAATTTCGACCTGCCTAAAACCTCTTCGAATTTGAGTGTTTGCTCGTCTGAATAGTACAGGTTGTAATTCTGTATAGCACAGGCTGTAATTCTGTATATTTTAGTTGAAAAATAACATAATACAACTACATAAGATAACTGTGTTTAGGTCTTCCATTTTGGGTTAAGTTTTTGTATAAAAAGTTGTGACAGCGTAACCGATAGAAGCATTAACAACAATCTACTTGAGAGAATCATGTTAACGTTAATCTTTAAAGCCTTTTTAAACCTTTGATCATGTTAAGAAGTTGGAAGCGAAAGTATAACCAAAAGAATGAAAAGAATAAGAATAAAAATATGTTTATACATAATCCATTATGATTAAGTGGAATGCTTTATGATCAAGGATTTAAAAAGGCTTTATCAAAGGATTTTTCTTTCAATTGTCCACTTTATCTTGCGTACGGCGTCACTTATTTGTTAATTTAACGGATTTTTCTTATGTTAATTTTCCATCGCTTGTCATTGGATTCGGAGCAGCACTGGAAATATCTGAAGGTCTGTAACATACACTGCTTGATGTTGTGTTCTAGTTGATTTATAAGTTTATGTTTATACTGACACATTTCTATTTACTACCAATGGATTTGAGTAACAGATTTATACACAAGAATACAAATTATGAAAGTGGATACCAAATGCCGATAATTATGATTTATTGACATCATTCCTTGAATCATGTTAGCTCTATAAAGTCTTAGGTTCAGATAAATTGACTTTGTGTCCCCTACAATACAACATTTCTGACGATTTTAATATCAATAGTGGTAGTAGAATAACAATCTTACTATTGCTACTCCCAAACTTATCATCTTTCTTTGTCAGTAAAATCTATTCAACGGTATACGAGTATGTGTCAGTATCAACAAAACTTGAATTTATTTTTCAGTTTGGTTTAATAAATACGTCGAGTTTTGTATTCAGTCGTTATTCTTTTTTTACGATCAACAGTACTAAAAGATCGTTTGATATCTTTTTTATTTTGTATTTTATTGATGTTGTGGTATTACTTTATCACTATTCTTCATCATTATGCTCAGTCAGCTCTGTGGATCATCATTTAGTTTGCCTGCAATCTTCATCCAGTTTTGAAAGCATTTATTTTATTGTATGACTTATTTCTTCAGGAGTATAATAATATGTATACTGTACGTTCTTTGATTACTGTAGTACAAAAAAAATAATTTTGAATAATCACCCCACCCCATTTTCATGTAAAATATTGTCAAGATGAGACCATAATGGCAATGTAAAAAAGTTGTCAGATCTCATGTAGAGCCAAGCTTCTAACTCTAACTAAACCTTGGTCAAAATATGTGTCACGTCTATTTTCACTATCATCACATGAACTTAAAGTGAAAAATATCACTGTTAATTACTTTCCTGGTATAAAATTAGTGGTGTAAAAAATCTTAAAGTGGACCGACGACCTCATAAAGGTAGCAGGAAGGCGCTGGATGCAGGCCGCTGCTAACCGGTCATCATGGAAGTCATTGGGGGAGACTTATGTTCAGCAGTGGACGTCCTATGGCTGAAATGATGATGATAAAATAGTTCTTGTGGTAACGAAACTGCCACATAATTTGACTCATAATTCGGACCTAAGTGTAGAAAATACCACCACTTGCGTATGATTTTGATATTCGTCATATAGTTAAACATATCGTTACATAGAAATTGTCGATCATTGTCGTTGACGTGTAGTTGTGTCAGTGGTTTGTTGATCTTTATATGGACCCTCCAGGTGCTAACACTATTTCTGCCCACGCTGCTCGGACAGACCTACACACGGCTTCACGTGTGTGAGGTGGTGAACAACCAGCCCTGCTGTCCACCTCAGCAAGTAAGTCGGTAGCTTGATGTTGTTTGGTTGTTGTTCGCTGTGCAGGCTGTGCTAGATTCTAGGATACACTGCTTAGCTGTGTCAGTCAAACTTGGACTGACTTTTTTTATTTTGTCTCGAACTTAATTAGTGGATTACTTACTTTTACTGATTTATTAACTTTTGTGAAGTTGTGCTTTCTCACTGTTTACAAGTCTTGTTTTTAAAGATTTTAAAAATTATGAGGCTCTTAAGAAGTTGCAGTAGAGTGAGTCATAAAAACCTACTTCATAAGATCATTTCTAAAGTAAATTAGTAAGTTCTTCGCTAGACGATGTTTTATGGAGTAAAAACTCCCGAACTAACAGAAGAGAAACTATTACTATTGGTATTTGGAATAAAAGAACAGACATTAGTAACTTATAAGAATCTTTTTAAAACAGCTTATTTTTTAGCTGTAGTTAGCAACTTATAGTAAGTAGTAGTAGTAGATAGAGCGCCCCTAGTTGTTATGTTAGACTATGGATTTCAGATGGTTTTCTGATTTTCCATAAGATATTATTATTTTTCTTTTGGCTTTTCTGAACTTAACCTTTGTTTCTTTTTGCAACCTTATTAATTTATGAAGAGTTTAAAAATAATTTCGATTTTTAATCAAATCTGTAGCTTTTTTACTGACATGTTGTTTTACTTTTTGGATGTCTCGTGTGATTTTTTTTCTTCTCGCTAATGGTTTTTTCTTCATGTTATTGGTTTTTTTAGTTGTTTTTCGCCTTTAACACGGCTTCATAATCGTTTCCAGATGTCGTAAGCTCAGTTTTTATTTTGTTTTTGTTCATATTACTGATGATTAATGATTTGGGACTATGTTGGACACTAGTGTTCAATACATATCATATCGATATGGTTAGAATAAATTAAGATGTTTATTTCATGTATTTGATTTATTTACTGTGACAAGATTGTCTACCTGTCGAGATGAAAATCGAGTCAGCATATAGATTTTTAAACAGTTATACATATTTTTGAAAGAGCTTAATTTAGTTAATTAGTGAGTTTTTATTTTTGCATGTGTGTTTATGTAAAACGTTCTGATATTTCAGCAGTATTCAAAGTAGAGTATTCTGTTTTACTTGATTGCAATTAATATGAGGACGTGAACATAATAATAATAATGTGTACGACACATGGCTGAGTTGCACCACCTAACTTTGAACGATAACGATAACCGGTGCTTTTTGTATGGAGTTTTACAGATTTTTGACGTTTGTGAAAGTTAAAGTAAGATGGTGCAATCCAGACTAAATAATTTTAGTATTTTCGTTGATTTTTTGACATAAGGTAAGGCGGGTTTTAGAATCGCGCTGATCGCTCGCTGATCGTCGATACATTTCGGCTGTCAGCGCTGACGGTCAGCGTGCGTCAGCGTGACTCTAAAACCAGCCTAAGGCTGTTAGTTGTAAACATCTAACCATGCTGCGTGTGCGCAGGTGAACCGGCACGTCGGCGATCTGTTCGAGGACCTGCGCGATGGACTCAACCTCATCTCGCTGCTGGAGGTGCTTTCTGGCGAACACCTCGTGAGTATACCCTTTATTTCTAAACTGAAAACATTACTTAACTTATCCTTTATTTTTTTTATCTGAGTTCGAAACTCAATGTCGCATTAGAAATTCACACACACAAAGTAATCAAAATATGTACTCATTATCCACTGCGGTATCAGTATGTACAACGTGTCCCAAAATTCAAGGATAAGCCGGCGCCGCAGGATGGACATAGTCATGACTACTTTAGGAAAAATAAGGAAAAAAATCTATCTCAATTATTTTTTAAGTTACACAATAAATTACGAAATCCTTCGAAAATTGACACCCCTTATGATATTTTACATTACCACGACCACAATTTTTCAAATATTTCTGTTTTTTTGTTTGTATCGGCAACTTAAGTAGTGCTGCTGTCCACCCCAACTCTTAAAACCCCCAGAATCCTTGCAGTTTTTACACAAAAATTAATCAAAATATGTTATTTCCTTAAAATTTTCAATGATTTTTACTTTCACTCCACTTTGACTCATCGTTTTGTAAAAAAAAAGTATGAACACTACCACGGCAAGTTTTTTATAAAGTTGACGCAACTATCCAAGATTCCAAAATGGTATAATACTCTAAGATACCTAGTCGCAAAAAAGATATGCGTACCATTTTTACAAGCACTTCGCTTGTTAGTTGTATGGGATAAATCTTGCAGCTGAATTTAAAACCAGTTCTCCTCAACCGATTGAGCTGAAATTTGGTATACTTATGTAAGTACGATGAAAATGCAATATTATGGTACCATTGAGCTGAGTGGAGACTGGAGGTGGCCATAGGAACTTCTAAACGAAACGGCGGAATTGCATCTAGTTTGGGTTCGTTGGATTTGTCTTTTCGAGCACCTTAGTGCTAGATGATGTCCAGGGTCCTGATGATGAAGTCAATTATAATTTTCAAACGAAGTCAAGCTTGTTTTTAAAAAAGTTTTTTTTTATTACAACTTTATTTTAAACTTTTTAGTTGTTTCTCAATCTCATGGCCCAAGTGCTCAGGAAGACAAATCCAACGAACCCAAACTCGATAAGCTTCCGCTGTTTCGTTTAGGAGTTCCTATGGCCAGCTCCTGCCACCTCTTGACTTCATCATCAGGACCCTGGACATCATCTAGCACTAAAGTGCTCGAAAAGACAAGTCCAACGAACCCAAACTAGATGCGATTCCGCCGTTTTGTTAAGAGTTCCTATGGCCACCTCCAGACTCCATCCAGCTCAATGGTACCATAATATTACATTGTCATCGTACGAACACAAGTATACCAAATTTCAGCTCAATTGGTTAAGGAGAACTGGTGTTAAATTCAGTTGCAAGATTTATCCCATACTAACTAACTAGCGAAGTGCTTGTAAAAATGGTACGCATATCTTTTTTGCGACTAGGTATCTTAGAGTATTATACCATTTTGGAATCTTGGATAGTTGCGTCAACTTTATAAAAAACTTGCCGTGGTAGTGTTCATACTTTTTTTTTACAAAACGATGAGTCAAAGTTTAGTGAAAGTAAAAATCGTTCAAAATTTTAAGGAAATAACATATTTTGATTAATTTTTGTGTAAAAACTGCAAGGATTCTGGGGGGTTTAAGAGTTGGGATGGACAGCAGCACTACTTAAGTTGCCGATACAAACAAAAAAACAGAAATATTTGAAAAATTGTGGTCGTGGTAATGTAAAATATCATAAGGGGTGTCAATTTTCGAAGGATTTCGTAATTTATTGTGTAACTTAAAAAATAATTGAGATAGATTTTTTTCCTTATTTTTCCTAAAGTAGTCATGACTATGTCCATCCTGCGGCGCCGGCTTATCCTTGAATTTTGGGACACGTTGTATATGCAAATAATCTATAGTACTACGCAAGCAATGTAAACTATTTACATTATGACGTCGCTGCTGTCATCATTGCTTACACGAGCAATGTATTCTGTTTTTGGGCATATTGCTGCGACACCGGCCCCGCCCCCTTGTCACATCTCCCTTTAGTTTACTTTTATTTATTACTGACCAGTTTCCGTGGCTCGCACATTAGGGTTCAGGACTAAGAGTTAAAAAAATAGTTAAGTGTTAAGATACCAAGAAGGGGGGGAGGGTGTCGGGGAATATCTGCTGCCGCCCTCCTGGAAATGGTATGCCGTATGCCCCTACAAACCATACCACCGGCCGCGACCCTGCCTAATAATCTGATAAGATTGAATCTCCCTCAATTTAGGCAGCTTTTCCGATCTATTGGTAGAGAATGCTTGTGGGCGCTAAGCCCTACTTTTATATTTTTATTACTGTTGTAATCGTAAATAAATAAGTCCTCGGTTTCCTCCTAAAACCGAGGTAAATGACTGACAGTTAAATTAAATACGTCCGTCAATAAAGTAATCGACCTTATAAATTCTTTATAGAGATTGTTATTTCCTAAATTCCGTAAAATTATTTATTGAGGCAAATCTTCGTTTTTAGTCAATTAGTCGAACTCAAGGTCAAGTTTTAATTGATGTTACGAAATTCTTACAGTCTGTTATCTATATCTATGACAAATAATTTAGATTGAAGTGTCTGAAGAAGAATACACTAATTACAGAGATTTTACAGGTTTAAGTCTAATATTATAAGTATGAATAAAATAGCGCATACATAATAAAAAATCTATTCCCAACGCTGCAACTCCTGTGTAGCCAGGATCTACAGCTTGACCGCCAATAAAAACCCAACCAGTGAAGGTCAAGTTTGTCCCGGGGGAAAGTTAAACTGTCATTGGACCCGCAATTAGAAGAAAAATAGAAATTAATCAGAAGAACATAGGAGGACATAAGCCACAAGCATAAATTATAAAAACTTGTAGGATTGATGGAATTTGAACTTGTTTATGAATCCTTTTTTCTCACGAATAACATATTCCGATTTCCGAATATTGAATTACCATTAATTAAAATATGTTTATTCTCGGAATTCCCATCTCCTTTGACAGCAATTTTCGCTCTATTGGTGGTCAAGTATGTGTGATATCATATTTATTTATTACTGTTAAGTCAAGGATTTCATTTTTTATTGTTTTAGATCCTTTGGATGTAAACATGGCACAAAATATGTCTTTTCGAATGCCAGCTTAATAGCAATATCACATCATAAAGTTGTTTGTTGTTGCAAGGCTGTTAAAGTTATTTTATTAGCTTAGATCGGAAGACTAGCTTTCGATCGATTTGTCAGAAAGACCCGACCTTTTTTTTTAAGCAGAAAATAAAGCCCTCGCTGGGAATCGAACCTGCGACTTCTGGGGTTTAAGACCGGTATCACTAGACCACAAATGCGATTAAGAGAGATTCCGATTTACAAAGAACATGAACTCGATTAATTTCTATCTCATGGTTGATTAGGTCTAGATTGCTATGGCGATAGCATCGCGTGACTGCCCCTTAACGAACCTGCCCCTCAATTATACGTCGGCCCCTTAAGAGAAATGCATTAATTACGAAAACATCTCGTAAATGCTGTTATACTTTTTCGTGATAGATAATCTTGCTTTTACATTTTAACGTGTGCATGTAAATATGTTTGAGATAATTCTTTCAATAGATAGTGGCAGATTCGTGTGTTATTTAGAATTAGATTGCTATAAAATTCCTTCATTTTGTGTACATTTTCCGATACCAATTTTTTTGCTTTTTTTCCTGCCATCATCATCATCATCATTATTTCAGCCATAGGACGTCCACTGCTGAACATAGGCCTCCCCCAATGCTTTCCATGTTGATCGATTAGTAGCGGCCTGCGTCCAGCGCTTCCCTGCTATCTTTACTATGTCGTTGATCCACCTTGTGGGTAGACGTCCCACGCTGCGTTCCCGGTTTTTTCCTGTAATTGAGGTAGATTCAGTCATTTGCTCTCCTCAGAAAGAGCACGCGCCCTTTCTAATTTACCAGAGGCAAATGGAGGATTTGGTCTACACTCCCCACGCTGGCCAGACGGGTTGGAGAGGCCTGATGTTCACATATTTGTCCCTTAGTTCATAATCTGTCCCTTAGTTGCCTTTTACAACTTCACAAACATGGGGGTTGCTCTATTCTACTCTGCCGGATCCACATGGCTATTAAATAGTAATATTTATTTGAACTCTTCATTCATCATCAACAGCCCTTTACAGTCCACTGCTGGACTATGAGCCTCCTCCACTATAGTGGAGGGTTTTGCCATAATCTCCACGCTTGGCAGGCGGGTTGGAGATCGCAGTTTAAAAGATTGATGTTTTTCAGAGAGCGCTGCTGCGCGTTCTCTGTTTGATGTGTACTCGTAGTCCCTAAGTCGCCTTTTACGACACCCCTGGGAAGGAACTTCATTATCTACTTCAAATTTCGTTGCGGGTCCAATTGGTTTAACTTTCCCCGTGACAAACTGACCTTCACTGGTTGAGTTATTGGCGGTCAAGCTGTAGATCCTAGCTACACAGGAGTTGCAGCGGTGGGAAAGAAAGGTGGGAATAGTCCCGTTAAATAACAAAAACACCGTATATTTGGAATCGCGTGACTTTGCCTTAACCGAGTGAAAACTGGGGAAAACTTTCATTATGCCCTCGCAGGCTCGATTAAACTGGTCAGATCTTTGCATAGATTAAACGTTTAGTTCTATATTTCACGGTTGTTTATGACAGTGCTTAGTTGAATGTTTACACTACTACAATGTGGTAAATAGTAGTTAGTACGAGTTTTACCTCGGAGCACATAGCTCGGAGAGCTGATGGCCGCTGGGGCAGGAAAGTCCTTGAGTGGCGACCACGAGCCGGAAGACGTAACGTGGGCAGGCCTCCCACTAGGTGGACCGATGATCTGGTGAAGGTCGCGGGAGGTGCCTGGATGCGAGCGGCGCAGGACCGGTCTTTGTGGAAATCCTTGGGCGAGGCCTTTGTCCAGCAGTGGACGACTTTCGGCTGAAAGGAACGAACAAACGAACGAGTTTTCCTAGAGTTTCTTGCAAGAAGAATGCGCGTGGTCCTTTGGCTTGAAACTGTCTTGAGTAGGTACTGGGTTCTATTCCCAGTCGGGTGAAAACTAACTTTCTGTATTAGTTCCCAGTTTACATGATTGGCGATTAATAATTAATGTACTTACCTAGTATGTACCTATGTAGTTGGTGAACAAATGACGTCAGAGGTTTTTATTGCTTAGCAAATTCAATTTGGGAGTCGCGAACTATGTAATGCCTCTGCTCAATTTTGACTTAACTCGAATGAGACGACGCAGCTCTCTGCGCTAAAGTAAACACTTCTATTTGCACTATTACTGTAAATAAATAAATAAATATTAGTAATAGTTCAGTGATGACCGGCAAAAACGCCTTATTTCCCCAGTCTTATCAAAACCTACCCCTATCTCCCATCGAGCCCCGACCCCTATCTCCCATCGAGCTATTGACCCCACACGGGGCGCGGTCCCGGGTTCGCTTCCGTGCCGCACCTGCTAGGCCATTAACTAGTGGCATACTGCGGCGATGCTTTGGCAATTAAGATAACCATCTGTATGCAACGGTTGATGATGTTTTTACCCGACTGCAGAAGGAGGGTTATGTTTCTAATTTAACGTATTCACAAACGATGCTTTCTTAAGTGAAGCAGCAAATCGAACGCACATTGTTGAATAGAGCTCTGTGATTGGTTCGTGTGACACCCTGTGCGTCCACGCGCACTATGAGACCTCATAGTAATGTTTGTGAATACGGACATAAGTGTGGGTTGAGGTGCGTTGTACCTAAAGAGAAGTTTTAACTAGTTCTATACTGTAGGTGTGCCTGGATGGTGAAATAAATACGCACATCCTGGTGAAACGAAAAGGACTGAATATAAAGAAATAAAAAACTATTTTATAAAAGAGTCAAGGTATCTTATTATTATTCAAAAATATTTACCCGACTGCACCAGAACGAAGGTTAAGTGTTTTTTTTTAACTTTTTGTGAGGATAATAATAAAAATGAAAAAATGAAAATGAAATGAATGAAAATGAAAAAAGATAATATCACAGACCGTATCCCCACCTGTTAGTTATTTACTACGACATTTACGTTCGTGTGACAAACATACATAAGGCTTATTATAATCCATTTATAATAATTAGGTCACACTCGTTTACACGTATTATTTTCACGCACGCCGTACCTAGTATAATAACAAAATATACTATTTTTGACATTATGCGTGCTAAATGTCAGTTTTTATAGTAAATTGTATTTTTTTAGTGTTGATGAAATTACTTTAACCTTCATAGCAGATCACTAGCTTAATAATATATGTATACCAGAACGCAATTTATTTAAAATTCCATGAAAATGTATTTTTTATAAACGACGACCATATTAGTCCAAGTCATGTTTTTTTCTTTTTGAGAAGGGTTAATTTTTCTCGTTGAGTTTAAAAAAACTAACCAAATAGCATCCCTTTATCTAGGTATAGGTGTACCAGAATCTCATGGCAAACAAAAATATTGGAAAAGTGTGTTTTTCATATGGCCATTTCATATTTCATAATTTCCCCAGTATTGCACTCAACAAAGTTTATTTTCCCCATTTGCCATGAGATTCTGGTACACCTATATCATCTTATAATGGCAATGGGTACAAACGTTGCCCATCTAAGTAACCTACATCGAACCAAATTGCGACAAATTGACACTGCTCAGTTCACAGCTTATTATTTTAACGTGTTTTATTTTATAACTTGAAAAAAATTAAAAAAAAAAAGTGTAACGGCAGAAAATTTTAATTTCTACGTGTTTGTTTGTGCTTTAACGCTGGCCAGACCAACTCGTCTGCCAGCATGGGGATTGTAGGCCAAATCCTACATTTGTTTCGGGATAATAAGATAGGATCTTCCTCCTGCAATGGAGGCTAAATGACCTGATGATCCTGATGATGATATCTTTATGCGTATAACATCTAATTCTTTCTTTCATTGATCACCATATTTCTTCAACTAATCATTTATCTCTCTCCAATTCCAGCCGCGCGAGCGAGGCCGCATGCGTTTCCACATGCTCCAAAATGTGCAGATGGCACTGGACTTCCTCCGGTACAAGAAGATCAAGCTGGTCAACATCAGGGCAGAGGACATTGTGGACGGCAACCCCAAGCTGACCCTCGGGCTGATATGGACCATCATTCTGCATTTCCAGGTCAGTGAGATAGTAGATGGCCTGATAGATGAGGCATTGTGCTTTTTAATTATGTTTGTTTTTCAGCGAATGCAAGCTTTCAAATTCAAAACTTTTAGTTACGGAAGTAGGACTTGTAATAATTGTATTTTTTACACAAGACTATATTATTATAAGACGTATCATTTATCGTAGGTATAGAACAGCTTACAGAAAAGCCTCAAAAGTAGCCTTTTTGAAACGGCGCTGTTATTCTTTTTGTCATTTTTATGGTGGACTCAAGAAAAAAATATATTCTTTTCTTTTATAATTATTTTAAACTAGCCAAGATTAATGAACTCGATTGACAAATAAAATATAAAATACAAATGCTCCGGTTTTGCGAAACTTTTTTAAGTGCACCTTTCAATCAGCACCAATATATTTTGTCACAACTTAAAAACAACAAACTTGTTTTTGCCATTAAACATAAAATTCGCTAATAATATTTATCCAGAGCGGTATAAAAACATGTTTCAGAATGCAAATCAGTCTTGACCTTTAGTTTGATTGCCTCATTGAGATAAACCTAGAATTATGTATTATTATGATTGATCTACGTCTGTTTGCGTTCTTAATTTGGTATTAGGCGAGCTTAAATCATATTTGTGTGTGAACGTTATCATTAAATAATTGTATAATCGTTTGTTTCGCGGTCATTTTGAGTTGTGTTCTTTTGATGAATGATGGACAGTTAATTTGGTTTAATTAAGGAAGTTTTTTAATCTGTGGGATTCATTTACAGAATAATATTTTTAAAGAATACAGTTTCATTCGTGATTTTGAAATACACTCGTATCTTTTGAATCTTATTTAGTAACTAAGATATCTGTAAGATCTTCGCGTACGTAAATATTTCATCAAAACCTTGCCGGCGCCTTTCATACCATGTTAGTCAGTTTGTTCGTCACATAGAAAGCTAAATGCCTATACTAGTCGCCGTGACACCGATATAACGTATTCAGATCGGTGTATTCGTTTGTAATAGCATGTACAGTACAGCTTACCCAGGTAGCATCAAAAGCTTAAAAGTAATTCTGTGCCTTTGCTATCAAATTAATATAGGATCTTTTAAGTTACTTTTAGGTACTGCTTCAGCAAGAATCTGTCTTTCCTGTGGTTTTTTAATGCTTATTTTTATATTCTCTATAAACATACCCATTTCATTGTAACCCTTTGGACCTAGTTCCATTTCACTGCAGTTTCAGCCCAAATTATACCTTCAATTTATGGAATAAACTCTTATCTTAAGGTATCTGACAAGTCTTCAAATACTCCTGGTTTCCTACCAATGGAAGTTCCTTTCTGTATCTTTTCAATAGTTACTTATTTAAAACATTGGATCTTATCCATTAAACCCTAGTTTATTGCAGTTCCAACCCACATGTTAGTTTCAAAATGCTATTTTGTTAGATGATTGTGTTATAAACTTTATTCCCGAATTCTAGTAGATTTTAATTTATTTAGCAGATAAGCAACAATTTGCTTGGCGTGATTTATTGTTTCCTCATATAAAAACAAAAGTAAATTGATGAAAAATTGCTTATTCAGTTTTTTCTTTTGATAGATGTCCCATTACGCAATGTTGTGATGTACTGAGTGGACTGTTTTCCCTGGTCTACGTGTGTACTGCTGTACATAATGCTGATGTCACCCGCTCTTGTAGTATCGAGGCCTGTGGCCTTACTATTGACAGTGGAGGCTTTATTCAATTAGTTATGGCTTTTAGCCAGGTAAACGTTTCAAATGTTGTGATAATGCAATGTATATTGTTGTAGATATTCCCATAGCATAGAAGTCACCAGATATTTATGTTGATCTTATGAAAAATTACAAAGGAAAAAAAATCTAAACAAAATAAAATTTTGAGATACGCCAGTTTATCAAGTCTAAATATGTACAAATTAATTGTAGCATAAATTGAGTTGTCCTCATATTCGTTAAAACGGCATAATTTCATGCTAAAATCCAGTATGTCGCAATGACTTGGTCCTATAAGTCCACAAACTAATTCCGCTGTTTCAATTCTAAACATGAATGTTTGTATTTCGCAAACTTGATCTATGCCTCGAGATAGCGGTATCATTGCACAGAATAAAAATGTCAACCAGATTGCTCAAGCTCCCAAATCAAAAGCTGAGCTCATTCGCTTTCTCTCTCACTTATTGCTAGGGTTACCTTACCATCTATATCCATAAATTCAAAAGTTCTGACTTGGGTTAGCTACCCCCTAGAGAAAGTAAGATTTGTAACTAAAATAGAAATCTGTTTTGCGGTTCGATAAGTTACATTAGATAAAATTCGAGTTTTTTTTTGTTAGTTTACTGTAAGCCTCTCAAATTAATCGGCCATTTTTTAGAAGAAGAAACATACAGCTAACTTAATTTTTCTAAAAAAATAAGGCGTTTAGGTAGATACCTTAAATAATCGCTAGAAGGATTTTTGGTAACCCGAATTTTTTGCCAAAAAATTTCGAATTGCTTTTGGCAACCCTATCGATTGGGCAAGATTCGCTGTCCCTCTCTGTAAGGATGCGTGGACGCAATGAAAGGGAAGTGATTTTGAAAGATGTCGGATCGAAAGTTGTTTTTTGTTGCAATTATTTTCACCGGTTTTGATGCGGTGTGATTATTGTGCCGCTTATGTGTAATCTTGTTATTTATTTTTTTAAGTGAAATTCGTTTTATATTTTGAAAGTGAGCTCGTTTATTATGCTTATTGGACTTTTATAAATAGCCGCCAATCAGTGGGAAGTCAGAGTTTTTAGACTTAGCTCCTTCAAAGCGACTGTAGTGTTTATGGCGAGTTCATAATGTTTTGTGATATTTATACTCCGTATATGGATTTTTTTTATATTATGTAACAAGGCAGGTGTTTGACCGTAATCGCACCTGGTGTTAAGTGAGATGCAGTCTAGGATGGTACATTTATCTGCCCTGTAAGTTCTATTCACTCTCGCCTTGAAAAGGCCCGGATTATAATGTTCGGTCCCTAGCTGTTCGCATTATAAAAGACATTAAATTCAGAAAATTTTATACCTACTGCGTTTTGGGCGTGAAAATGCAACAGTTAGATAATAAGATTTTTCCATTGAATACAATGATGAAAATTTTAAAGTTTCATCGTGATCCTTTTAGTATATTTGCGCGATTCCACTTGTATTATACAAGTAGTATTTGCTAGGTATAATTTACACCTATCTAAATAAAGCAGTAGTAGTTAATTGTGCAAGTAGGTGTGTCACATTATCCAGTCTGCCAAACTAATTGTAAAGTCACCTGAACCGATCCGTAGGCGATCGTGAGTCAGCCATGATGCAATGTATTGTTCGGGATGACATTCTGCGCGACACAATCATCACTTTCGCTTGTATGCTCCTGCGCAGCCTGGCGCCTGGAGTTTGCATTTATGTGTTTAAACTTTTAATTGATGCAATTGAAAGTTGATGGTCGGCTGGTGTTTGTGCCACATTATTGAATCATTCAAATTCCAACTTGCATAAGAGATTTTAATTTAGATCCCTATTGTAAAACGATATTCAATAAATAATTCAGGTATAGCCTGACCAGGAACATAAAAACCCTCGCCATGTTGCGGAAAACTAATGGTACTAATTTCTTTTAATGGCAACAGTAACTGAAAACTTCATTGACATGTCACCTTGCATGTCAGTCTATTGCTGTCAAAGTGTAAACAAACTTTATTTTAAATGTGCGCAATTGGTTTTGTGGTTAAAGATATTTATTTCTCAAAAAGATTACAATGCAATCACTTACAGAGAAACATTAATTTGTCTTAATAAAACAATACAAAAACGATTTAGCGCAGCAGTTCTATTAAAAGTGATTTTTTATTTTTATAAAGCAGGTAGGTGCAAATAAAATACAAGCCATCCAGTAAGTCACTGCGCGGCGCGGCGATGAATAGGTACAATTCGAAAACATGTTTTGTACGGGATAGGACACATTTAACATTTGAGCGAGTGGCTTATAGGCTGTTTTCATAATAATTTGACAAATTTGATATTTTATAATGATTTTATGATAAAATAATGATTGTTAGTTTTTGATGTTATATTTATTAATATTATAATTGGTATTAATACGTGTATTATTATTATTAATTAGTATAATATATTATGTACATATTTGTAATTAACTTAACTCATCTTATTAATTATAACTTAATAATGATGATTGGCGGGTTGTAATTATTATTATTATTTTATTATTATTATTTTTTTACAAAGGTTGTCAAATTGACTGACATGTTTATCGTATAGTACAGTCCACTATGAAAATTAGCTGTGGTTTGTTTCAACTACCTATTTTAAAATTTTTTGTCACTTTCTAAGTGTTGAATTTTATGGGATTGGGAAAGAAGTACCGAGTTTGAAGCGTTCATGAGCAGACATTGCAGTTGAATATTCAAGTTCTGAATTTGATTATTGATGAATAATAAAATAAATTCTACTAGCTCGATTGATGGTTTCATTTAATTTATTTAAATCAGGTTCCCTTTAATAATATTTTTTCGTTAATTTATGAAAATATCAAATTAGCCCGTAATCCTGAATCCTGATACATAAAGTTAGCCTATTAATTTAACACAGGTACGACTGTACTCAGTGTTGCACTATCAAATGCAATTGACGCGCCTCTATGCCAGGGTTTTTATGTTCCTGGTCAGGCTATATAATCCAGGTCTAAACATTAATACTCTTGAGACTTGAATCTAAAAGAAGACTATTTAAAACTTGCAGACTAGTTTATGATTCAGTTCTCAGTTCAGTTGCGAATCTTGAATAATTTCTACCATCTCCTTGTCAGGGTTATGGGGTCTAATGGGAAAATTAATGCCCATATTTCAGAGAAATGGCAATCTCTAAAAATTGGTAGTTCACCATTTTCACTTTCGCAATTCGATTTCTCTGAGGTCGTTGTGATATAATTGGCAAAAAATATTAAAATCGCCAGTAGGTG